ACCCGTTTGCTTCGTACTTTTCCTCCACCGACGACCCGAGCATCCCGCCCAAAATCCTGATCACAACGTCGCCCAAGGCCACGAAGGCGACGTACGACTTTTGCGATGAGCTCGTGGGGGTGTTCCCTGGCGCCGAATTTATCCGCAGGAAGAAGGGAAAGGGATTCGAGGTGGGGCGGATAGCGGGGTGGGCGGCCGGGAGAGGCTATAAGCATCTGTGTGTCGTGAACGAGGACACGAAAAAACCCAGTGCGTTCGAGTTCTTCTCGGGATCTGTGTTTTACTCTCATGCCGGTTTGCAGATGCAATAACGCTCGTGCATCTTCCTGATGGGCCCACGGCATACTTCAAGCTGACCTCTGTGCAATTGACGAAGCAGATATATGTAAGCAGTTGCTCGGTTCACCCAATACAGTACATGTTCAAAATATTGTAGGGCCATGCGTGCGCAACCCCGCACGACCCCGAGCTTGTCCTCAACAACTTCGTCACGCGCCTCGGCCATGCCGTCGGGCGCATGTTCCAGACGCTCTTCCCCCCGCTACCCGAGTTCCAGGGCCGGCAGGTCATCACCCTCCACAACCAGCGTGACTTTCTGTTTTTCCGACGCCATCGGTGCGGCGTCTTCCTCCCAAGTCGTTATATCCCGACTGAGGTCTCCTCCTAGATATGCGTTCCGCTCGCCAGAAAAAGTCGCATTGCAGGAGATCGGGCCGCGGTTCACGTTGAAACTGCGGTCGCTGAGGAAGGGCATCCCGGCAGTGCAGCGGTTCGGCGAGGATCCCAAGCCACTGGTCTTCGAGGTGGACAGCAAGGAGGAGGAGGAGGGCACGCTGGAGGAGGCGAGCGCTGCTCCTGGGGGGGATGTTGGAGAGGGTGCTGTCGCTGACAAAACACCGAAGGTCGTCCCTCCACGGACGGATGAGTTCCTGTGGGCATGGAAGGTTTGTTCCATCTTCATCCCGTTGTTCTCAAAACTAATGTTGGATTATAGCCGGAGCTAGAGACGACACGACGGACTTTCTTTTTGTAGCTTCTGTGTGCTGTCCGCTCCATCCGAGAATGCCTATGGTTTCTACAGTTATATGCGACAACTATCTGACCATGGGATTACGGGACAATGTGAGTGGAATAGAATGATCATTTATTTTGTGTTGTTTCGCAACTTGGGGGTGGGCACCAATAAACGAGCTCTTTCTTCTCCGAATTTTATTGGGCGTCAGGAGAGTACGTTGAAGGGGTCAATGAACAATCGCACTCGACGCGTAAGGCCTCATATGACGGAGGCCGAGAAAAAAAATGTTGAGTATGGTCAGTACAAGGTGTCATGGTATGTAGGAATGTTGCGTGGGTGCAGAGACGCAAGGTTGAGATGACGCAAGCTATAAAGCTTGTGAGATGTTGAGATGCTGGTTCTGTGGGGTTCAATCTTATCTTACTATCTCTATCTAATCTTGCAGCTAGACTCTACACCACTCCCATACTGATTCGGGCAAAAGTGGCCTACGCTGTACCAACAAATTTTCAACGAAGAATTGATGCAGTTTTGTGGCAGAGTAGATGTCGGAACTATTGGCTCTGGACCAGCACAGATTGATGCTTGAAAGACAAAAAGTGTCCCGTCTGCTGCCGACAACAATTCGCGGCCAAAATCACCCAAATTAGACATTGTATGGACCAACTTGCGGGACTCTTATTTCTTGTATTCCTTCAAGTACACATGTTCTGCTTCAGACCTAACTATAGCCACTATGATACCACAGTATGATGCATTCAGTACAATATTAATCGTTTTAAGAATTTTGGGTTGGGCTAATTCACCGAGGGCCTCGTTATCAACAACGTATTGTCTCGTGGATAGAAGGATGCTGGAAAATGCATGTCAGTCCAATATCAGACCTGTAGCAATTGCCGACATAGTGGATCCAATGTTGGTCCAACGTCGGGTCTACAACATTGGTCTGGCCTAGGCCACTTTTTGTTTGATCTAGGCTCCATCAGACGTCGACAGCTCCCACGCTGCTCCCACATTGCGCGGCAAACGCTGGTGTAATGAGTACCCAAATAACCCAAGTACGTTCCATCTGTTCTATTCTACCCAAGCGCCATGGCCCCCAAAGCAAAGACGACTTCCAACGCCCCCCTAATCCACGCGACGTCCCAGCAATCCCGGTTCCACACCGAAACACTTGACACCACTCTTGAGATCGACCTTAAAGCAGTCACGATCGCCATCGGAGAAAACGAGCTCATCTCAGCTAGTCACCTGCGTCTTAAGCAGGGCATTCGATACGGATTGGTTGGACGCAACGGGTCTGGGAAGTCGACGCTCCTGACGGCTATTGCGGACAAACTCATCCCAGGGTTGAGTCCTTCGATCCGGATTCTGCTGCTCTCACAGGTCGAAGACAGTGCCAGAGCAACGGATGTTCTTGGAGTTTCCTCTGTTAATGTCCTTGAACATGTTGTCAAGGGCGATAAGGAACGACAAGCATCGATGGAGGACTTCCAAGGCAAGTTCCGTGTTTCTTCTTTCTTGCACGTTAAATAGTCAACTGGCGTTCTGTTAGCCCTTACAACAGCAGTGGAGACTACGTCTCTCCGTGAAACGCAGCGCATTGTTTACACTCTACTTCTTGAAAAACGTCGCCATGAGCTCCAGGAGGCTCGGAAGCTTGCAAGCAGACGATCCGGAGCGCGGGGTAAAGAAGCCCGACTGGGGGAAATCAAAGCGGAGGAGAATTTGAAGCAAACAGAGCTCCTGTGAAGGTAATCGTACCGTTCGAATGTATCGCGCTGATGTTTCGATCAGGTTGGAAGGGATCGAAACCGCCGACATCGAAGCGGACATCATGTCGCAGGCCCTACAAATGCTTCAAGAAGTTCAAGTTGCCTTGGACCTCGTATGTCTCGTGTGAATCATCATTTGATAATTCTAAATGTCCGGAAGCTTGAAACAGCGTCCACAGAAGCCCGAGCTGCCACCATCCTCTCAGGTTTGGGTTTCTCACAAGAAATGATGGAAGGTCCCTACACGTCTCTTTCTGGAGGATGGAGGTCCCGGTGCTCCCTCGCAACGTCGCTCCTCGTCCACAGTGACGTCTTGCTTCTTGATGAACCATCCAATTTCTTAGTAAGTTCGTATGTTCTCCTGATCGAGAAGGATACTAACTGCTCGTAGGATCTTGAAGCAATCATCTGGCTTGAAGGCTTCTTGACCTCCCAACCGCGAACACTCGTGCTTATCTCGCACGACCAAGATTTCCTCAACAACGTCGTTGAGGAGACGATCATCTTGCGGAATAAAACTCTGAAATACTTCGAAGGCACACCTGCCGCCTTTGAGGTCAACGAGCGCAAAGAGCGCAAGCGGCTCACGGGTGCGCAAGAGGTCTTGGATAAGAAACGGGAACATGTATGTAGTTGGCTCTTCTTCACCATCAACACTGGCCCTCAAGAAGCTCCCAGATCGAGAAGTCTATCCAGCAGGGCATCGCTAGTGCTAAAAAAACCGGCGACGAGAACAGGTAGGCTTTGCTTCCTAGCACATGCTCTACGTCGTTGACAGTCGGTTGAAGACAGCGGATGGTGAAATCGCGGCAAAAAAAGTCAGCCAAATTTAACATACCGATAAGACCGAAATAATAAAATATCCACAGGCTGGACGAGCGTTGGGGAGTGGAGGCCAGTGCGAAAGGCACCCGGTTCAAACTCAACCGCGACATGCCGGCGTACGCTCTCGCCAACAGAGGCGAGATCGAGGAGGTCGTCATGGAGCCCAGGGTCAAAATCAAAATCGAGAGTCCGGACAAGCTGCGGACCCTGGGGGATCTGATCCACTTCGATGCCGTCGAGTACAAATTCCCCAAGGCCAAGAAACCGTTCTTGGAAGATATCACGTTTACGGTGAACCAGGGCGGCCGGTGTGCCTTTGTGGGAGCTGTGAGTGATCGACATTGTTTCTTGGGGGTTGTTACTGAGTGCGCGATATCACTGCAGAATGGTCAAGGAAAGTCGACACTGGCAAAGTTGATCATGGGCACGCTCCTGCCTACCAAGGGCACGATCATCCGACATCCGCTGCTCAAAGTCGGATACTTCTCCCAGCACTCGGTCGAGGAGCTCTCGGGGTTTCTCGTTCATTCCTCTTTAAATCGGCCAATAACCGCACTGTCGTATTTCATGGAACACTTTGAAGCAAGAGGCGAGAAAGTCGTCGAGCAGGATGCGCGAAAGTGTCTAGGATCCTTTGGGCTGCAAGGTAAAATCGCCAGTGATACGCCCCTCGGGCAGCTCAGTGGAGGCCAAAAGGTAATCCCATTCTCAATGCTATGCTGCACAACACCCATGGTGATGCCACTAGGTTCGGTTGGCGATTGCACTGATCGTGTTTATACCGCCACCCCTGCTGCTGCTCGATGAAGTGACCACGCACGTCGACTTCCCGACCATCCAGGCGCTCGCGCGCGCGCTCAAGACGTTCACAGGCGCGATCATTGTCATCACACACGACCGGTAAGCATTTTCTCTTTCGTATCATCGCTTCGCAGGCCCAGGACGCTCACCCAACTCAGATGGTTCAGTCGGGTCGTTATTGAGGGCGAGTCGCTGCGGCATGCGGCGCCGGACGATGATGCATCGGACGACGCGTCGTCCACGGACGAGGACGAGGATTCGGGCGCACCGCCAGGGAAGACGTACCGCGTCGGCGGTGGCAAGTTGAAGTTGATGGAGAAGGGCATGGCACAGTATGTGGCTTATGTCGAACGGAAGCTTGCGAGAAAGAAGCGGGAAGAGGGGAAGACTTGAGACCTACCGAATCTAGCTGTAAGGCGTCTTCCCAATCCAGTCTGGCAGGTCAACTGGGCACCACTTGGCACTCATTCTCGCAGCCACGTAAGGGAATATTCGTGGTTACCGGGTTTCGCCAAAATTCGGAAGTCCATAAATGGAAAGCCACCATTAGCATTATATACCCTAGCCTTGGCAACCTTAGGTGCGCCCCTGTTGTCTAATGGCTATGACGTCAGACTTCTAGCTTACTTGAGCTATCTGGAGGTTGCGGGTTCGAGTCCCGCCAGGGGTTTTTTCGTCAGAATCCTCTTTTGGAGAACCATGAGACCGCCGGAAAAACCTCAAAGTGCCTTATGATTTTTTCCTGAAAAGGCCTTATAAGAACATTATAAGGTCTTACTATCAGTGACTGGGTAGCTGGCCACTGGGCAAATATAAGGATGGATGTTACCCAATGTTCAGGGCTTGGACTCGGGGGAGGGAGTACAACCTCTGACAGTAGTCCGTGTCAAATTTGGGTGATGAGTTGATTGAAAGCTGTGCCATGTTTGATCACGGGCCGAAGAGTGAGAATATCATTTTCTTAACTCCGAGTGGCTATCTCGCCCGTTTCTCTACCAATTCTGTATCAATCCACGACTTTGGGGGCTTGTTCTTCTTGCCTCATCTCAGGCTTGTTTTCAGACATACCAATGCCTCCAGAGCTGCCCTCTTTCTTTGTGAAAGTCCCACAGATGATTGCAATGCAACCTTGAGGACAACAACCCAACGAGCTGTATATCAAACGATGCTTTGACGCTACAGGTCTAGCACTTGGCATAGTCCATTATGATGGATGAAGCTTCACTTTAAAGGTATTCCGACATTTTATTTGTTTGATGCCTCTCTCAATGTTGTTTAACAAACTAAATCACCCTATTTTCTGTGGTAGCAAAGGTTAAATGCTGGGTTCTTGGCAGTGCCACTCATGAGTGGAACAGCAGGTCCAGGTACGTTCATCTCCTTCTCATGAAGCTACCTGTGACTTATTTTGGCCAACCCCATCCTCTCACTGCTGTGTGGTCCTTATTTGATTAGCGGCATGGATCCCACCACTCACACCTCTCATCAGAAGCTTCTGGTTCTACCATTTTTATACATCCAATGTAACATTTCAATGCCTACAATACAGGATTTAGGTCCCTTGAACATTATTATACACCACCAAGCTACCGTCTGAGCCAGCAACAATGGATTTGCGTGGGTGGCCAGGTACCCTGTAAATTGCCTTTTCGGGAGTTCCGACCGAAATAAATTCGCTGTGCAGTCAAAATGCCACCAAAATTGGCCTAAGTGGGCTTCACTTGTTCACAGGATGCACATCTACCATTTGCGGCCCTCAGGCACTTGGGAAGGCCCTCGACGGATCTACTAATGGCCTAAAACCCTTAAGGTGGCCAGGATCCCAGCGCCTGATAGTATAAGAATCTTAAAAGTGATTCCTAACACTTTGGGGCCCTTTTCATCGCCTTATTTGGCCATATAAGAATCTTATAAGGTGACTTTCAGGTTATAGGCTAAATATATATTTTCCGACACAGTTTTCCATGGATCAAGGCGTGTGTTACTCAAGTAGGAGTCTATAGGATGACCCCATCCCCATTGATTTTACTGGATTTTTTCATTCAATTCAAAAGTCATGGGTCACAGGGGAACCTGTCGATGTCAAACTTTTGTTCTCTGTAACGCGTCACGAAGGCGGTTGTTGAATCCCAGTGAAAAGTCCATATTGGGAAATCGAGCGAGATAGTGGGATATCCAAAGAAAATATGACTATTTATCTGAAACTATAAACTTAGCATACATCTATTTTTTTGATTGGTATCAATTCAAAATGTAGGATATACTTTCACCCCCCATCGTTCTGGACAAACCTAGATCTCGGACAAACACTTATTACTCCACCATTTCTGGCTCAATTCAATAGCTCTCTTTTGTGACATACTCTATAGGATGTCTCCTAAGAGAAAAGGACAAAAAACCAGACAGATATTACCTGTCCTTGGCCTGCCACCCCCCTTGGCTATTAATAATCTGTGATTTTGACTGATTTTCGAGGTTTTCAGCACAATTGCTGTGGCTGGGACTTGATTCAAGTTGAACAAAGCCTTGGAAATAATGAAAATACATTTTTGGTACATATTAGTACATCAAGGGTAGGTGGCCTGGCGATGTGGTAATAGATTGTGAAGTGATCAAGATGTCATGGATTTACAATCCAAAATATTTGTGAATTAAATGAAATGCTGTGCACCTCTCAGGAACTTTTCAGACTATTGGTCCTTGTAAGATGCCAACAAGATGCGGTTGATCTCCCATGTAAAGTTTCAGGGTGTCGCTGTAAGAGATGAGCTCAAGACAAGGCTGGCAATCAGAAATTTCGATTTTACCTAGTACTCAGACAACTGACCACAACAAAGAAAACACTGCTGTTTGACAACAAATGGACCATTTTCCACAAACCAAAGTTTTAGACCTGTCAAACAGAAAGATTGCAAATGATCTATCGACACAGAATTTTATTTGGGTGTCTATATAAATAGATATTCAATGATTTTCCTTAATCGTCTGAGATCCCTGTCAAGGATAGTAGTTTCCCTCGCTTGACCATAATTTTGGCACCAAAATAATTCACTGCCTTGGGCTTCATCATCATGCCATATATTAGAGGAAAGATGAATATCGATTCAAAGTTGGCTATGATTACATTCTACTACACTGAATCCCTAGCTGTAATATGCCCTCTGCCCCCATACTGCACTAGTGCATACAGTGTGGTGGCTGTGCCATTGTCGTGTTAGGAGTACACAGCATAGCTTTCTAACCACCCATTCTTGGCCTCAGCCCATCACTTTCCCACCATTCCTCTGTCCCACTGACCTTAGCACTGTAGACAGAGATCTTCCAGATCTCACGTCTCCAATACAGATCCATCTGCTATGACAACGTCCTCACAGCACACACTGATGAAGCACCCCAGCTAAGGCATAGCACAAGTTAACTTGTGAGTAACTCGGACCTGTGACTTGTAATTGTGGTGGAGTGATTCTGGAGCCAACAGAGCGTGTAATTCTTGGTTGGATTTGGTTATAGACAATTGCGGAATGTGGCAGAGTGACTCTGAAGCCAGCAGACAGCATAATTGTTAGTCAGACTTGGTTGTAGACGGTTGCAGACAGAGCAATTCAGGAGCCAGCAGAGCATGTAATTCTTAGTCGGACTTGGTTGTAGACAATCACAGAGCGTGTCGGAGTGATTCTGGAGCCAGGGGAGCGTGTAATTCTTGGTTGGACTTGGTTGTTGACGATCGCAGAGCATGGCGGAGTGATTCTGGAGCCAGCGGATGGTGTAATTCTTGGTTGGACTTGCTTGTAGATGGTCACGGAACATGGCGGAGTGACTCTGGAGCCAGTGGACCACGTAATTATTGGTCAGACTTGGTCGTAGATGTTCATGGACTGAGTTTCTTTTAGGCAGAATGACTCCACGAACTGTGTAATTCTTTGTCAGACTGATCGGAGACGGTCGCAGAATATGTTTCTTGTAGATAGAGTGACTCCACGAGCCCGTGGACTGTGCAATTCCTGGATGGACTTAGTACTGAAGCGGAGCAACTCTGGAGCCTGTGGACAGTGTAATTGTTGGTTGGAATTGGTCATAGACAGTTGCGGAACGTGGTGGAGTGACTCTGGAGCCAGCAGAGCATGTAATTCTTTCGAACTTGGTCGTAGACATTGTGATCTTGTGTGTAGGACCTTTCGAAGTGAGCTACTGTGCAGTGGACTAAGTGTTGGTGTCTTGTATATGTTCGCAACAGTGGGCAAACATAGTGCCACTGTGAGGCTGCACTATGTTTGCCCACCGTTGTGAACGTGCACAAGACACCAACCCACACAGTCTTGTTTTGCAATATCCTATGCATAAGATCACGCTCCACAACCGTCTACAACCAAGTCCGACCAAGAATTGCATGGTCCACCGGCTCCAGAGTCACTCCACCATGCTCTGTGACCGGCTACGACCAAGTCCAACCAACAATTACATCGTCCGCTGGCTTCAGGATCACTCTGCCATGCTCCACAACTGTCTACAGCCAAGTCCGGCCAAGGATTACATTGTCCGCCAGGCCCAGAGTCACTCCACCATGCTCTGTGACTGTCTACAACCAAGTCCAACCAACAATTACACCGTCCGCTGGCTCCAGAGTCACTCTGCCATGCTCCGTGACCATCTACGACCAGGTCCGACCAAGAATTGCACTGTCTGCTGGCCCAGGGATCACTCTGCCACATTCCGTGACCATCCACGACCAATTCCGACTGACAATTAAATGGTCCGCGCATTCACAGAGTCACTCTACCTACAAAAAACACACCACAAACATTTCCAACATGTCTGACGAAGACATATGCAGTCCGCTGGCTCGCAGAGCCATTCTGCATACTAGGAAATCAGTCTGCGAGCTCATACAATGATTCTGCACAACTAGGAGGGAGAGAAGGAAGAGGGGGACCTGTTCCCGATCGTCGGAAAGATGAATGGAGTTGTCGGAATAAGGAAAAATCACATGGACTTTAGAAACAGTATAAATACCACCCATTGTATCTAGAGAAAGTATCTCCGAACTCCCCCACTTTCTGCTACTGTCCTAGACTAGAGCAGAATAGTAGGAACCTGCCAATCTATAGAGTTCACTGGTCACCAGGGGCTCTCTTCTTTACTCATCCTCTATTCTGAACAAGAATAATCCCCAGAAGTGTTGTCCTTTAGGCACTTCACAAACTCTTCGGTCCTCTCCAGGTCCTGAGAGGCACTACCCACCAACAGATTTATACTGTAAAGCTCCGGTACGGCACCAGTCCTTGCTACAGATCCATTCTAACCCCAAACGACTGAGTGGAAACAAATCAATTACCCAGATCCATTCTCCGCTTCAAACCATGTCAACAATTTTAGTGTTTGAAGTGTGTGGACCCTCTGAGGAGCCATCCACATCCTTCACATAGCCTGTTGAAGCATCCACCTTCTATGTTTAATCATTTGCGGTACCATGGAGCGCGATTGGAGACCTGCAGACATCATTCTTCTGCTTGCTTTCAAAGCGGATAGTGTCCATTCCATTAAAACCCATAAAAACTACACATCCTTGGAGGCTTCTGAAGCGAACCTGCATCACAACAGAGGCTTTTTAACAGCTCCACCTGTAGAACAGAATTCACTGTCTATCCTCCGAGAAGGCCCCAGATTCGTATC